CGCCTGGCCCCTTCCTTTCTTCAATAGCTGGCATCCGTATCTGTTGTGCAACGTCTCCACTGCCCGCGTCATCTTTGATCAATGTACTTCCTGGAACCACGTCAATGTGCGGTCTCGCGCGTGCCTGCCACCACTCTTGCTGCAGTCGGTCGCCGCTGCCTCATCCCACCCCACCATCCTTGGGCTCGCGCCAGGTTGACGATCGCCTCGACCCCACCGGCACCATGACAGCCTTTCACGGCATGGACGGCTCGGCCCCGATTGGCGGCGATCCTGATGCACCAACTTGTACGTACTATGCCCGTGTCGCTTGCTTGCTGTGGGTGCCGAGGCCTTGCCTCGCAGCGCTTGACACGCCGCGCCGCCTTGTGCAGATCTGGATGATGAGTTCAAGGCCCGCACCCCCTGCGATCAGTACAGCCACGTTGTGGTGGATGGCAATACCCACATTCAACTTTTCGCCGATGCATCATACCCGTTCGTCCCATGCCCCTCGTCCCGTGGCAGTATATGCCGATAATGCCAGGCTTTCTACTGCCTATGCTCAACCATTCATTGTCCTACTGTCCTGGCTCTTAGTTATGTTCAAATCTACACGGGGGCCGTCAGCACTTGGGGCCTGCAAGCCATCGCCCTTGAAGCCATGTCTGCTGAGGTGAGCAGGCTTTACCCGCGGTGCCCGCTGGGTCGAGCCGCTTGCACGTATGTTTGAGCCTTTTCTCTGATCGCTCATCCACCTTTTTTTTTTTTTGGCCCTGACATTTCAGATGGATGCGTACAACAATTATAACGGCCTGCACATCCTGGATGCCGGTGAGGTCTTTGAGAGCTCCTTTGGGGTGGCGTTGCTCTAATTGATGAAGCATATTGTAACCTGCCCCATTCGGGGTATGAGGCGAAAAAGGCACACCATGTAAGCGACCATGCCGCTTTTCTTCGGCGCGCCTCGTGGTTCATGCCCCTACTTTCCTTGGCTTTCTTTCTTCTCTGCTTTTGTTTTTTGTTTGTGTTTCCCCACCGACGCGGGTTGTGACACGGGCTCTGGTATTTGTACCAAGAGCAGGTCGTGCGTGCGTCCTTTTAGAGTTCCAAATCGATTGATAGTAAAACCACATGAACGGGCTGTACTGCCCGTGGCCAGAAATCAGTAGAGAGTAATTGTCACGCAAGCAAACATGTGTGCACACTCGTACACGCCGAAAACAATGGAAGGGAAAACGAACATCCGGATGTAAAATACAAACCAATGACAAGCAAAGGCAGAGACGGATATGCAAGGTGCTGATGGTCAGCTCGTCCCGCCGTCTTAAGAAGCGATTGCCAGGAACATACGCAGGGTGTCAGATTGCAACGAGCCTATCAGAAACTCCATTTGCGTGTCACGCAGGCGATCCTCGGTTTCCGGGGAGGCTTGGCGGACCAAATGGGATTGACCGGCGACAGTCCCTTGCAGTTGATTCAACATCTGCCCCAGCGTCATTTGCAGGCGACGCAAGTCTTCCTGTTGGAGCCAGGCATCACCAGGAGTTGGCTTGGCTTTGGTTACGGTGGGCGCTGTATCGGGCCGAGTCGGTACCGGTCGATTTGCACACGTGGAGCTGGATAAGTTGGCCATGGTCGAAGCCGCATCCAAAATTTGAGTGCGAGTTGGGGTTGCGACGCTGCCTTGGCTCAGTGTTTGGGCGTACGACGCCGCGACCGCCGCCAGCGTGTTCAAGCTTGAATTTGAGGTCAATGGCCGCGCCGTCGAGGGCGAGACTGGGCTGTGAGGGACAGTGTCCTTGTCTCGTGCATCGGTCTTGGGATGGGCACGACGAGATCGGCGGGATGTTGAGGCAGAAGAGATGTGAGACGGGCTGTCCATCATCTCAGCGTCGGGCGTCTCGGTGGTGGAGGAGGCTGGTGTTGTGACAAAGTCATCGAGCAAGGGAAGCTTGAAGAGATCAGGAAACTCTTCGACCAAGCTGGCATGAACGTGGTCCATGTGGCGTTTGAGGTCGCGACGGTGGCGAAATGTTTTGCTGCAGTTCTGTACGGGGCAGGCTTTCTTTGCCTCGTGAATTTCCATGTGCCACCTGAGCGCAGTGCACAAGGTTCACAAGTGAGGTGAGGCCCAGTCGAAGCCAAAACAAGTGGCATCAGCGTTGAGCGGTGTGCAACTTGAAAAAACAGAGACCGAGACAGGGACAGGGACGAATGGCAATGCAGAGGAGGGGTTCGTACCGCAGGCGATCGAGGGATTCGTAGCGGGTGGAGCAGCATGGGCATTGGATGGGCAGGCTCTCATTGCTAAGGTGCTTTCGGCGAACGTGGCGCTCGAGGTGGGCCTTGCGGCTAAAGTCGAGGTCGCATTGCAAGCAGGCAAAGCGCTGCGGGGCCGGCCGCTTGGTGGCAGGGACGCCGTCCGAACTCAACGGCGACGACAACCGCCCCGCTGGAGAGGAGCGGTGCGAATCCATATCCACAAACGTTTTGCCGTGCGGTCGGGGTCGAGGTCGGGGCGAAGAAATGGCCGTGCTGGCAGAACCTGTTTGCCAAGAATGAGTGGGGCCGGGATGGGGGTGATTGGATCCAGAGACCCACGGGGGAGGAAGGCGAATGGCTTCAAGAAGCACCGTGCCGGGCAAATGACCAGCCTCGGTTAATTGTGATCAAGACAGCCACAACGAGAGAAGCACTGCGCTCACCACCGTTGTGCGGCGGGGTGTGGAGCGAGGCCGAGGCGGACGCGGAGGCAGAGGCGGAGGCGGAGGCGGAGGTATTGTTGACAGATAGCAAGGGGGATGGCTAACAAGGATGTGAAGCAGCAGCAGGTGGGGGAAAGCAAGTCCCCCACTTCAAAGTGCAAGCGACGAACGCGGCTTGGGGCAGCCGAGCCCTCAAGTAGTAAGGGGAAGCTGTGCGCAGTGCGGCGGTAATGGCCACGGTCATGGTCATGGTGATGGTGATGATCGCAGGAGAGGACAGAATGTCGCTTGGGGGAATCGCGCGTTTGGTCTTGCACGCAGGGAGGAGTCGCGGGCCAGTCATGCTGATGGATTTGGGGTTGTGGCAAAGCTCGGCGGAATGGGCAAGTGGTGGTGGTGGGGTGGGGGCACCTGACGTCCATGACGGCGAGGTAGTAGTAGTAGTGGTAGTGGTAGTGGTAGTGGTAGTGGGGGCATTCCTGATTCAGTCAGTGCGTCCATTATGCGACAGATGACAGGACAGGTGTCGTCGGGGCAAACAAAAGCCCCGCCGACCCTGGTTGGCAAGTGTGTGGGGGCGGGGATACACCGACAAGCGGTCGTATCTGGGAAAGTGTGGGGCGCAAGATGCCACATGCTGCTGCTGCTGCTGCTGCTGCTCAAGACATACGCGCGTTTGCATTGGCTGTTGCCGGTGTTGGTCAGCAGACGGAGGGGTAAGTGGGGGTTGGTGGCAGGGTTGGCAAGGCATTCGGGCCTTGAACCAGCAGAGAAATCATCTGTGGGTAATATGATGCAACTACGACACGCTTGATGGTCGTATGTGATACGGGGTGGGGTCGTTTTGGGTCGTAGTTGTGGGTTTGGGTGTGGCCGTCTGGTCCAGTACCGACGAAATCCTCCCCGAGCAAGAAACCCATCGGTGACTGAAATGCAGCAACAGGACATTGCACGCGACGAGGCTATGGGGCAGGGGGAGGTGAGGCTTCGCGCGTAATCAGTGCGTTGAATGGCGCCGACACCAACCTTGCCCGCTGTGCTGGCTTGGAATGGATCCTGAAACCTGAACGCCGGGATGGGTGTCACCTTTCGCACAACCTTTGCTTTCCCATCAAACGGCGTGGCGTGTTCATGCTTCAAGCCCCCTTTGCGCGTGCCTACTTGAACGCCAAGCCCATCCGTAGAGAGGGTACGCCCGGCTGTGTGTTGTTGGAAAGAAGGGGCGAGAGGGGAAGCAGGGTAAGACAGCTAGGCCGACAGTGGGCAAGCGCCCGGCCCCTCGCTCCTTGACCATGCTCGCTTGCTAACATCGCATGCCTGACAGGACTCCCGTGCAAGCTCAACCTTCGAGAAAGGCCGCACCAAACCCCGACGCCGAGCGACGTTGGCCACAGCGGCATGTCCTCATTGCCCCACGTTCGAGTTGATGAGCAAGCGACCTCTGTGTCCGCTCCGACCAGGCATCAAGTCGCGGTCAGGCCTTCGACAGAAAAGCAACGATTGGCGCCTCATCGTGGTCCCCTGACTTGATTCTCGTTTGCGCCGACAGACCCGGCGACAAGAGGTGACGTGATCCTCTTGCCCTGTCAATCGAAGAAAAGAAAAAAGAGGTCATGCATGTCTTGCATACTCGATTTGGTGGGAAACGGCTGTGCATGCGACCAGATCAGGGATCTGGCCTGGGTGTAAACAGGGAAAAGTGTACGCCCGTGTTCACCGCCGACATGGCTCGCTTTCATTTCTTTCTCCTCGTCTCTAAAATTTCCCAGAGGCCACACTCTGGGCCTTAGGCTTCGGCCTCGGATCCGGGGTCGTCGGAGAGCGAAAGGGGCCCGCTGACGGCAGGGCCGGCATCCGCATAGAAAATGGAGGCACCCGTCACGTGGCTGCGACGATGTCGGCGCAACTCTGGATTGTGCAATAAAGTCCAGGCCAAGAACCAGCGATTCCGAGCCACCATCCGGCGCTTGGCCGAAGTCATGGTCACCTGCACCCAAAGCCAAAAGGCCAAGCCCACATGCCCTGTGACGTGAGCGGGACGAACAACGAGCAAGGCAAAGGTTTGCGGGCCACCATGGTCAAAATGGGCCAATACAAACCTTGAGACCCGAGTCTTCCACCACGTAGTGCTGTGCCAGCAGCAAGTCCCGACGCAGGTCCAGGTCATCGTCGTCGTAGTCACCCGAGACGCCGCGACGCTTGCGCGAACGAGCCCCGCAACAGACACAGCGTCGAGGGCGGAACACAGCCTCCAACGCCCCGTGCCGTTCCTCGAACCCAGACAGCAAGATTCTACTCCACCGTGGCACAGATGAGTCAGTCGCACGGAGAGCCACACATGGCAGCAGTAGGAGGACAGTTTGACCACTCACCGCACAAACGTGATCATGACCGCGTTGCCGTAATACGCGTCAATCATGAGCATGCCCATGTAGGTTCCATGTGCTATTAACCGGTTTTCCCAACAGCCCGCAGCAAACAACCTGGCGGTGAGATCCCTGGCGCAAGTCGCTCAGTGGATAGACACCGACCACACACACACACACACACACACACACACACACACACACACACACACACACACACACACACACACACACACACACACACACACACACACACACACACACACACACACACACACACACACACACACACACACACACACACACACACACACACACACACACACACACACCGCTATCCAGGCTTTCATAACCAGCTGGCAAGGTCGTCATGTCCAGGCGAGGTATAAACACCACGGCAAAGAAGGAGGTATAGATCCAACGCTTGATGCAGCTGAGAGCGCCCGAGATGGCATTGAAGAAGAGTAAACCATACTCGACCAAAAGGTATTCGCGCCGACGATTGACCGCTACCGAAGCCCGATCCAACATGTAGCGCCGCTTGACCAGCAAGAGTTGCAAGCGGGAAAACGCTAGGCTGCATAGAATGGTGGGCAACGCCGTCAACACAATAGGCCCCCAGAAAAAGTCGTCGTACACGTCGACCAGCGGTAACACTACGCGGAGCAGATTACAGGACACACGATTTCGCCGACGGTGCAACAAGCGTGCGTGAACACAGTTGCAAAAGAGAGACAAGGCGAGTCAGACCGGCCCCGTGTATATCAGACCGGCGCACGATCAGCGACATGACGCACCCGTGGTAAATACAATGGCAGCCAAGATGATGATAAACATAATTGTCATGACAAGCCATCCCAGATAAATGTGCGAAATTTGATATCCCAAATACTGTGCGCAGTTGAGTAGGGCAGAAGCCGGAGACATCTGACCATAGGTCCACCCACGAGGGCGAGAAATGAGCCAACACGCTGCTTCAAAAGCCAGCCGGGGCGGCAGTTAGGGACTCGCTCACAAATACACAAAGCGGGGCGATTCTCACCGTCGGGGGTAGCACCACGATGCGCTGGCCGCGCGCTATGCTGTTCAATCGCTTGTAGTGGTTACGCAGCATCAGAACCAGACTAATGCTTTGAAACAGAGTCGACAGCAAGCCCGCTGCCGTGAATCTGTCGAGGATCATGCCCAGACCAAACTGTGAGTTGGCTCTTTATGCCTTCAGATACAAAAGAACAGATGCCATGCCTATGGAACCTGGTGAAAAAAAACACCAAGTTAGCCACTCACGTCCAAAAAAACGCCGTTGAAATAGTCCTGCCCGTCTTGCAGCCTAGTCGCAAGTTGAAGAAGACGGTGGAAACTGCAGGAAGTGGCGGGCAAACCCAGAAAGTGTGAGGAGAACCCGCCATGTATGCAGACATGCAAACAAAGATGAATTCGACAAGAGGCAAGCGTACAGAGGTCGGACGGTGGGAACCAAATCGCAACGCCTTGGTCCAGACAGCGTGCGTCCCGGCCCGAAAACAGAACATTACGCTCGAGCAGGGCTTGAAAAGACTTTGTGATGTCAATCCACAACGGCGCTAGGCAGATAGACCACATGAAGCAGACAAAGACAGCCGTCTGTAGCCGCGAGTTGAAACGAAAGGATCCGTCAGTTCTACGCAGAATAGAACGGGACAACGGCAAGACGTCGTTGAGCCATCTTAGTCCAAACCACGCTGAGCATCTCAATCACCCTAAGCACGAAGAAGAAAGCTCTCAAAAGCTTGCAAGCAAAGAAAAAACAACGGTGACCAACGCGAGCCGATGGAGGATAATGCCAAGGCGGCGTGCTCGATTGCCAAGCCATTCGCAAATGGAGAAAAAATGCCCTTCTTCGAAAAACCTGATTTCGGCTGACTCGCGCGTTAGTTCTATCTCCGCAAACATCCCACAAGAAATCAGTTTGAAGCAGCAAGACCGATTGCTGAAGCGTGCTCAGGAAGTTTTCCGAGACAAGAGTGAGAAATGACCGTCGGGTGAGCAAAGGTCGGCGCACCAAAATATTCTGGAGGGCGCAACAGCCGGTCGACCCGTTTTTCGTGATATTTGAGCCGGTCCAGCTCACGCGGTGTGCCTACAGGCAAAGTTAGAGGATGAGCAGGAAGATGATAATAATTGGGCATGCAAAGAGGCGTGGAGATGGTGGTCATCAAGGTCTCACCGTCATCGATCAACGGCCGAAATTGAAGCGGCATTTTCCAAAGATAGGCACGCCATGCATCAAACAACGCCACACCAAAGTAAATCGTCAACATCAGACTGACAGAGGCCGCAACAAACTCGCGTGAGGGATGGGGCAAAATCGTTGAAACGCTTTCGATAGATAAGGCCAGGAAGTCGAGGCAAGCGGGCAGCGGCCTCGTCCCCGGGAAAGGAGCAAGGCAGTAAGCAATTCACTCTAAGAACGTGACAACCGCAACGCACTAGCACATAGAGGAGAAAAGCAGCGAGACACCGAAGCTATCACGGTACGAAGTCCCAAAGAGGCAGTGGACGCTGTTGAGCTGGCTCATGGTAGACAGAAGCGTCAGCACAAAGCCTACGGTCGTGCTGTGCATGTAGAATCCCGGGGGCCGTGAGGTGGAGCAAGGGCAAGGGAGGGTGCCTCAATGCTGCCCATTTGACTGATGACGCGTGTGCTTGCATGGACAGGCGGGACTAGCATACTAACCCAAGAATGCGGTAGCGTGTGTGGGCACACAGCAGGGGCGAGGCGGACGAAGCAGTTTGAACCAGACTTCGGACCACGAGATACAAGGGAGCCCACCAGCCGCTGTAAGGTGAGGCAAAAACTAGATGAAGAACGTGCATAAGACACACAAATTAGCCCGAGTGGCGCTTGCACAATCCCAACCAGTGGTGGCCCTTCTTCCCGACCCAACTGAGCGCCAAGCCTACTCAGGCTGAAAAAGTTGAGGAGCACGGAAAAGGACGTGGCTCCCAGGGTCAGCACAGCAACCAGACGCGTGGTTCGGCCTTCCAAAAAATTGAAAATTAAGGGTAGCCCAAGCATGCCACAGCAGCAAGCTATGGGCACACACACACACACACACACACACACACACAAACACACAACGTCCAAACAGGAGCAAAGCTGTCAGCAGACCGAAAATGACACCGAGACGGATCCGGAACGCCTTCATAGCAGGTCACCGCCACCTGGGCTGTTAGCGTCGCGAGCCGCAAGGATGAAGAAGATGACGACGAAGATGGCGTTGAGGGCGATGAAAGCGGCATCATAATTGTTTGTTTCGGTTCTATTTATTTAAAATAAAATAAAATAAAAAAAAGAATCGATCAGGAAGCGGCGTCAGAGATAAGTGTGAAGCAAACTCAAACAGAGAAACGCAATGGGCGCCTTTCAAGCAGAGACAGGTACGCACACGTGACAGGAGGCCAGAGCGTTGCTGACGGAGATGGGAGTGGCCTCACAAAAGGCTGGGTGAGCGTCAGCACAAGCACACCCGTGCTTGATCGTCAGCACCTGAGAAACAATCACACCTAAATCCATACCCACCACCACATCAACCAGATGAGATGAGCAGAATGTAAAAACAGGTGGAGATGTACTGCGCAGCTGTGCAGGTTCGGAAGAATGGCCTGCGCGCCACAGTGACCACGACAGCGTTATCAGCCACGAACCATCAATCTGGGGATTTGCAATGGGCTCAAACATGGCTGGACCATAGTTGCCGGGATCACAGGTCAACCGTAGCCGCGTAATCGTCCTGCAAGGAAAAGACGGACTGGTTGAGAAGGAGTCTGCCCATCGATTCGGGGGCAATAGGCTGGTGCAAGATCGCACCAAAGCGAAGCAATGTTGGAGACGACTTCGGAAAAGACTGCAGGGTCTAGGCCAAGGCCCATGGCCAAGGATGACAAGAATGTCTATAGTGTAGCCGAGGAAGTGTGAGGGCGAGGGCAGATAGATGAGCACCCCCGTTCTCATCATGATATTCGTGTGACACAAAGAAAGGGGTGCCGGAGGTGGTACTACAGCAGCACGAACTGAGCTAAAGGGAATACTGAGCGTCTCGTGTTGCTGGGTGTAGCTAATTTGCAAACTTCCGTCCATGGTGCGCAGCCAGGTGCCTTTTCCAAAGTCACCCAAGCTGTGGTAGCAATCAAGATGGCCAGATGATAGGGGGGCAAGGGCATGAGCCAGACGTTTCAGCAGTTGGCCAAAGCTTGATGCAGGTTGTAGATGGGGTCTATGCCGAAACAGGGGTGTCCAGACCTGAGATCGGCCTCAAGGCCGACGAGGTAGCTTGAGCTCACTTGGCCACGCTGGCAAAGGGACGAATTACCATCGAGATCAATGCCACAGGTCTGCGGTAGGCAAGGCGAAGCACTGAAGCCAGACGCCCAGGTGAGCAGCGGGTGAGGCAGTACTGTGGGGTGCAGAGGTGAAGGGGGGGAGGCATACCGGAAGATGCCCACGCAGTTGCTGCTATCGGAGCAGCTGGCCAGTTTGCCAGTGACTCCGGCATACGGACTGTTGTCCAGACCCGTGGCCTTGGCCAGGGTATATGTGTTTCCGTCCATGTCCAGGGCGCTGCACATGGTATAACCGGTAACTGGGTTGTAAGCGAGATCAGGAACGACTAGAGTTGCGTTGATGTCAAGCTTGGCGTAAGGGTCAAAGATGGCCCACATAATGGCTAGAGCCTCGCTGCACTCGTTGGAGGTGCCCACGTCCATGACCAGTACCTGGGCCAGCCGCATAGCGTCTGCGTCGGTCTAGAGGCCCAGATCAAATGTGTGATGATGAGTGGCTGCTGATGAGATGTCCAAAAGGGCCCAGGTAAGCATGTGGGACGGTCGATGCAGGCGAGATGTCAAGCCATACACTGTTTTGCTCTATGGCATCGACGATGCAGTTGGTCAAGTTGAGAATGGCATTGCATGTGGTTGCTGCACCAAGCCAGGTCCATCGGAACAGAACAGAGGAGGGTGTGAGAAGTGTGAGCGGCGGTGCAACAAGACGATTGTGAAGCAGAGGGTTGGCCAAAATCCGTTGTTCAAGTACCAAGGCTGACGTCACACCTGAGGAGTATTTGCCATCTATAATGTTTGAGATGATGGGAGTATATTCGCTGGTGCAGTTGCGTAGCGCGTTGTTTGGGCTGGCATCAGCCCCCATGGCCACGGGGCCGGAACTGCCCATGAAGCCATGGTGTAGCGCGAGCAGCAGCGCAAAGGCAAGCAGTGGTCGCCGTATAGCGACTGACATTGAATCGACCCAGGCCATGGCGTGGGTGTGATCAGGTTGCTAGCATGTAGGCATGAATTAAGCAAGACCAAACTGGTTTGACCTGCTTCTGCTCCTCGGCGATCTCGCGCAGAACGGATGGGCATCAACAGAGTATCGGCGTAGAACCAAGACGAGGCTCGCCCGTCAATGACTTTGGCACAGGAGGTCAGGAGTGAAGACCTTAAGTCGAACGCGGTGCTTTTCACAGACGACGGGCCGGGAGAACGGGACCGATCCGAAGGAGGACCAGACAAGTCGGGCACGAGCCACGTTAGGGCCGTGCCTAGGCTGGGGGCGTAGGTTTGTAGATGCCGAGTGTTGCTGAAAAGGGTCGAGAAGTAGATGAAGCAAAGGAGCTCGGCTCTGAAGCAAGAGTGAATAAAGACCAAGCGCCGCTCCTCAGCGAGCCGTGACCAAATCGGGAGAGCTGAGACAGGCAGCCATCACCGACAGCTGAGAAACCGACAAGGACAGGTGACGACCTGGATCAGACCCAACGAGTCCCAGCACACACTAGGCAACCCACAGACGCGCCCAAGACCACCAGGCACCACCCAAGAGCCGATCAAACCACAGCCGCAACCCCCCAGACGACGCAAACTCCAGAGTGCGACACCGACGACACGCCAACACAGCCGACACCGAGCTCAGCCAGACCAGAACGCACAGAGAGAGAGCGGGAGAGAGCGAGAGAGAGCGAGAGAGAGCGAGAGAGAGAGAGAGAGAGGGAGAGATGATGATGATGAACTGTCTCTCTCTCTCTCTCTCGCTTTCCTCTCTCTCTCTCTCTCTCTCTCTCTCAATTCATTCTCTCTCTCTCTCTCTTCTACTACTCTCGTTGGTTGTTGTTTGTCAGTGGTGTTTGTTCCTTTTGTTGTTACATGTGGTAGTTGTGCTTTTCCTTTGTAGTACTTTGCTCTTTACTTCTCTCTTCTCAAACCAATTCATCTCTCTCCTCTCTCTCTCTCTCTCCTCTCTCTGTTTCTTGTCCGCAATATCACAGTTTTTTTAGAACAGGTGTTGTAAACACGATGATTCGGAATGAAAACAAAAGAATTCTTCACACACAAAGAGAGAGAGAGAGAGAGAGAGAGAAACGGCAGCGCTGGCTGGCCTCTCTCTCTCTCTCTCTCTCTCTCTCTCTCTCTCACTCTGAGTCCGCTTTGCTCCGTGTTGATGGGTGTGTGAATCGGTGTTGGCCTCATCATGGATCTGTGGTGGTTCTTGGCTGTGGCTGTGGCGTTGGTTTGATAGCGGGACCGGTCGATCATGGCTGGTGACGGATCCGAGGTACGTTGTTGTTCAAAGATGAGAAAGGAATGCGTTGCTCTTGCCTGGTCCTTGTTGGTCTGGTACCGCGCGCGCTGGGGGCGGGGGAGGGGAGAGGGGCAGATAGAAGGCTGATGATGGTGGTCTTGTTTTGCCACGGTGCTCTGCTGTGTGCTGGAGCAGGCCCCCGAGGTGGCCTCCACAAACTCGGGCGATCCGCTGATTGAGCACGACCGCCGCACAACTCAGGATGACGGACGCCGCGCCACACGTCCCCTGGACGCCAACGTTCACGAGCGACTTTTGAGTGCAGGCCGTGAGAACTCGGTCAACTACACTGCTGAAGTGCGTACCTCAAAACACTTGATCAGGCACCCGCGTGCGCACCCTGCCATAACTTGGTTCCACCCGCCGCCTTAGGAACGTGAGGCTCGCATTCGCGCTCGCCAGGAAGAGGCGGCGCGACGAGAGCTTGAGCTAGACCTCAAATATGATGCCGGTAAGCCCCAGTGCCTTGCCCCCCACCTCCTTCTTTCTACTGCTTTCCACGAACATGGACCGGGGGATGTCCATCATCATCAATATCGCGCTGAGCTGCACAGCCACTACCATCTCTGTCTTGCCTCACCCTGCGACACAAATCGGCTCGGTAACATAGAATCCGTGTTGGCCCTGATCAAGCCCGTATCTGCGTGCATGATCGTGGTCATTGCCACCATCCGTTCAATCACCTATTTCAGCCAGAATGATACCCAGTTTGCATACACGCCCTTTGAAAGCAACGGTGGTGCCGGTGAAAGCAGTGGCGAGCGCTTTGGTGGCGCCGTCCTCAACGCCCTCATTGTCGTCGGTATCGTCATCGTGATGACCTTTATCCTTGTCATGCTCTACATTTACGAATACTACAAGGTGCATCCCCCCTTCACCCTTGTGGACCTCCAGCCTACCGCCTTGCCTCGATGATGCACGATCCCGAGACCGGCAAACCTTTCCTGACTCCTCTTGCGTGCTTGTCTCGCCAATGCCCAGATCATCTATGGTTGGCTAGCCCTCTCGGCCTTGCTCCTCCTGTACTTTTTCAGCTACCAATACATTGAGTGCGTCATGTGCACCCGCCGGTGTGGCGCCAAAAGAACCCCGTCTAGCTTCATCATCCGTATTCGAGCGCTGACCGTCTCTCTTTGCCCATGCACCATAGACAAGTGCTGATTGCTCACAACGCCAGCATCGATTGGATCACCATGGCCTTTATCATATGGAACTTTGGCACGGTTGGCTTTATAGCCATCTTTTGGCGCTCTCCGCTAGCCGTGCAGCAGGTCTACTTGGTGATCGTCTCGGCTCTCATGGCGCTGGTGCTCATCAAGAACGTGAGGCCCGCCTCGCGCCCCTTCAACCCGCCTTCAGCGCGCCGCCGGCTTTTCTGATGCCCCTCCTCTGTTTTAGCTTCCCGACTGGACGACATGGGTGCTGTTGGCAGCCATCGCCATTTATGATCTCTTTGCCGTGCTCTCCCCCTGCGGTCCACTCAAGTGTCTCGTCGAGGTGGCCCAGGTAAGCGCCCAGCTCCGAGGCCGCTCGAAACTTGTCGTGTGTAGCTTGCCTGCTCATCGTTTCTGACGTTTGCGAGCACAGGAGCGGAACCAGCCCCTTTTCCCCTCGCTCATCTACTCCAGTACCATGATGTGGACCGTGACAATGGCAGATGTGGGCGATTCCAGCTCCAACTCGGCCACCATCGAGAGCCAGCCCAGAGTGGCTGACGGTGGTGCCTCCACCCGCGGCACAGAAATGACCAGCATGAGCAGCCAACCGCGAGCTCGTCAAGGCAGCCGCGCCGATAGCGAGGCCGATGATGGTGCACGAGACATTAGCACATTCGCGGCCCCGCGCGGCGAAACTCGCTCCACCAACCAAGCTGCACCTGCCTCGCAACCGAGCTTTCAGCCCGACGATGAAGACGGTCAGTCGAGTCTCCAGTGCATGCGCTTCCATCGCTCTTGCCACCATGTGTTACACGTGATCTGTCTTCCCGACTTGACGCTCTGTTTCCCGGCTCCGCACCTTAGACTCGGGAGTCAAGCTGGGATTGGGTGACTTTATTTTTTACAGCGTCCTGGTCGGCAAGGCAGCTACGGCCCACGAGTGGACCACGATTCTGGCCTGCTATGTGGCCATTCTTATCGTATGTCATGACAGACACCCACACTTGGCATCAAACCACAAGTTGCAGCTCTCACCCGCCTCTCCGGCAAAACTGGGTTGCTTTTGTCATGCTAGGGTCTGGCCTGCACGCTACTGTTGCTCAGCATTTTCAAGAAGGCACTGCCAGCGCTGCCCATCAGTATTTTCTTTGGCCTCTGCTTCTTCTTCCTGACCTCTGAGGTTTTGGATCCCCTCATTGACCGCTTGAACGAGCGCCAAATCTTCTTGTGATTGCGCCGTCGCCCAAAGCTTGTTGCGTGTCAACGTATCGAATCAGTGATTGTGTCTGCTTGTGATGTCCTGTCTCGGTGGGCAATGCCTGCTAGCGTTTTTGAGACCTGTTTTACTTCTTGACATATGAGGAGCATATCGGTGTTTGCTTCCTGCCTGTCTACGTTCGCTTGCCTTTCTGTTGGTGCACGATGGGCTTGACTCTTTGTCTTCAAAATCAACACGAAAATATCACCGCAACAAACAAACAAACAAAAAAAAAAACAAGTTGACAGGCGACACATGGTGTGGTCCTGTGCTTCGTGTGATGGGGGACCCCACATTCAACGTGAAATGAGCTGGATTCTGTTGGATTTCGCGCACGATAAAGAAAACGATGGAGGCTAAGTGCTGAAATGCTCCATTTAAGCTTCATGGAGGTTCGTGGGGTAGTCATCCGGGTACTTGGCAAGATGCTCATGCATCTCAGCCTCCTGGCGCTGCAAGCGTGCCGGCTTGTCGGCGTACACGTCTTCGAACATGTGACGCATGGAAGGCTTCAAACGCGCCTCGGCATCAGCAAATTCCTTGCGAACCTCCTTGCGAATCGTCTAATCACCCCGTCCCATCACAGCAAGAGAAGTCAGGCTCACACAACAGGAGCGACTCTGCCTCACAAGATTCGAGTCAAAGTGGGTCAGCTTACCTTTTGCAGCTCGGCTTCCTTCTCTTCGTCCCAAAAGCCTTGGTTGGTCATGTAGCGCTCCAGACGAGAGATGGGGGTGTCCTGGGAAAAGGTGTCCACTTCATCCATGCCACGGTATGCGGATGAATCATCGCTGGTGCTGTGGTGGCCAATACGGTAGGTCATGGCCTGCATGCACCCCACATCGGCGGGAAGTAATGCATCAAAGTGAGCCATGACGCATGACGGGCCAATGCCGAGGCATGGAAGGAGAAGCGCGTGAATGACTATTGAGGGTCGAGGAGGATTGAATTGCAACATACCTCGATGAGGACGGGGCGTTGCTCCGCGATGGTGCGTTCACGGGCAATCTTGACGGCATTGTACACGGCAAAAACATCGTTGCCATCGACACGAATGTAATCCAGACCAAAGCCTGCTGCGCGGCTCACTGTTGCACCAAAGGCAAATGGTGGAATTTCAGACAACCACCCGCGTGTGAGCGTGATATGGTGTGGCTAAAACGTGGAGAAGCTGGGTGACTGTGTTTGAACAGACACCACTGTCGTACCGATGCCGTCACCGCGATACTGATCCTTGGTGGGGGTGGAAATGGCATAGCCGTTGTTGCGGCTATGTCAGGCAAGCCCGTGAGAAGACGAGACAGGCTGCAGGATTGAGTGTAGACCAAAGGGCTCCCCAGGCACACATACCAAAAGTAAATGACGGGGCAGTCAAGCGTGGCCGAGAAGTTGAGCGCCACCGAGGAGTCACCCTCGCTATCGTGTTGGCCAGCACCAGCGTGAGGCTTGATGATGAGACACACATTGGTGAGGCTGCAACTGCGGGTGGGGCGTACCTGGCAGAACCGTCTCCAAAATAGCAGATGACGCAGTTGCGTTTGCCACGAGTCTTGAGTGCGTAGGCAGCACCAGCAGCCTGAGGTAGCTGGGTTGCCAGGGGCGAGGAAATGGTGTGGAAATTGTGCTCGGCACTGCCGTAATGCACCGGCATCTTGAAGCACAGAATTGGAGAGGGGTTGGCCAGCCATGAGCCGCATGTTCAACTCGGGTGTCGGAGATGGTGGAAGGAGATGAGAAGCCATGCGCGTGAGGTTGTCAAACTCACCTGACGACCGCGACCCAAATCGCCCGAGTTGGAGTAGCATTGGTCCATGACATTCTTCAAGGAGAACCCACGGTACATGAGAACGCCGACTTCGCGATATTGGGCGTAGACCACGTCTTCGGGGTCGAGAGCAGCAGCGCTGCCCAGATGCGTGCCCTCCTCGCCATAGGCGGTCATGTAGAACGAGATACGACCCTGCAAACACAAATGAGCGCGCGGGTCTGGTCAAACTCGGGCAGTGGATCATCAAGCAGGGGCTTTTCCGACCAGAGTCATGCCGCACCTGGCGCTGAGCGTTGTACAAGAGCTGGTCCATCTGGTTGGTGGTGTTCATCAGCTTGTACCAATCGAGGATATTCTGTTGGCTGATCTGCAAGTGGGGTAGCAGATGAAGGAAGCACAAGAGATCAGCAAAACGACCAATTGGAGAAGCTGTTTGAGCGCTAAAGAAATGGCGATCAACTGGTGTTGGAACAGGGGTAGGTGCGAGGGGCCATTGGTATGCACGGGGCAGAAGACTTTTACAGCGAGGGCCAAAACGCACTTCAGAAGGAAACTCGTCCGGTGTGACAATGACACCCTCCTTGTTCATAATCTGGTAGCAGGGCTCGGGCTCATTGTCGATCGAGCGCTTCAGGTTGAGCTGAAGAGAAGAAAGAAGGAGGGTCGCGAGTCAAGCCACGGGTATGAGGAAGCCAGCAAAGCCAAGACAGCTGCAGACCGAGCGGCAAACGGAACCAAGTAACACCTGTACCTCATGCACAAAGCGGCTGTTGGCACCGGGGAAATTGGACATGCCCTGAAGAGTGGGAGTCGTGGAGCTCAGCGCCTAAGGACCAGGGGGAGGGCAAGAAGAAGTGGGCTGAGGGCAATGGCTGGCGAAGAACACATACATGTTCAAGAATCGGCAAGCTGCAACCGAGGTCTGCAGGGCAGGATGTAAGCGCCAGTGCTTACCCGAGACCAGAGTGCCAAGCGAGGCGCGGTCACGCCGCGAGCAAGACCAGCCAGCGCCATGCTGCTGTTGGGAACTAGGAATGAATGAGCGCGTTTGCGCTACCGGAAGGGCCGAGAAGAGGGAACAAGAGTTTGAGCCGGGGCTCCAACCGCCTCGCAATGATCCGGTACACTCGCGTCTGCACAGCACAAAAAGCACAGCAAACCAAACATCCGTCAGACCACCAGACCACCAGACCACTTGTCCCCAAGCTTGCCACCAGCCCTGTTCAGACAAGCGGGCGCACAAGCACATGGCCAGCCCGCATCTGCTGCCCTCTCCCCCGAGTCAGTCTCGACCACACACCCTCACCCGCGCGCACACACACACACACACACGCGCACGCGCACACACACACACAGAGGTGTGCAGACCTGTCTTCCTGCCAAGAACCACTGCCCCCTGAAGTCTTGTCTCCTCAGACCATCAACCACTGCCGCTGCCGTCTCTCTCTCTCTCTCTCTCTCACACACACACACTCTCTCTCTCTCTCTTTACTTCTCTCTCTCTCGTTCTCTCATAGCGCGCACACCTTTAGCACCACCCGTACAGCGAAACTCTGATTAAAGTCACACTTGAGGTTGTATAAACTTTGGTAGCGCCGTGTATGGGTGTTGTAATTGTCAGATTATTTTGACCCGGGGGGCTGAGATGGCGGCAACGACCTCGGTGGTGCTGCGGGCGGTGGTGCAGCTGGAGCAGCGTCTGGCTGCGGCGGGGTTGGATGTGGTGCAGCGTTTGGATACGGCTGTTTATAATAAGGTTGTTGGTTCGGAGCTGTCACTTCCCTATGTGGCTGGGGGTCAGCCAGCGTCACTGTCTGAGGGAGTTGGGCAAGCAGCTCTCCTGGTTGGCAGTCAGCGCGCATTGTGGCCAGCGCTTCAGCGTGACATCCAGCGCTTGGGGCGAGTACCGGAGCATCCCGTGAATGCATATGTCGAACGAGTACGTATGGCGTATGCACTTTTGATTCTATGACCCTGCCATTGCCAAATGTTGATGATACGGTTGAGCGTTGCTTGCTGCTGTCGTTACTACTGTCGTTGCTGTTGTGTTTGGCGTCTTGCCTCGATAGACCTTGGCGCAGGTATGCCAGAATCTACCTTGCCCACACTACGTGCGCTATGCGCACCGCACGGAACCCGGTACGTCTATGCTGCACTTTGCTGGCATTTCGAGACCTTTTTTTTTTTTTTTTTTTTTTTTTTGAGGATTGACTGTAACATGAACAAAATAGGTCAGCTCGTGGCCATGCAGCGGCTGGCTCATGTGGCGGGGCTTGCATACTTGGACGAGACGACGCACCTTTGCATACACCCGGACCTGGGCCCGTGGTTTGCTTTGCGGGCCGTCATTGTCCTTGACGCCGCCCCCGATGCATTGGGACTCGTGGGTCCGCCCCGCACACACACATGGTACGCCACTTTCGTACCAACACTGCACCTAGGTCGCAGATCTCTCACGTCTGGCTTGCCCGTGGGTTGTGTTAGCCCGCTGTCTGCAACTGAAAAGCAAGATTTGCATCAGGCTCTTCAGACGGCGCTGCGGGAGCTTCCCCTACCGCCCTCTGAGGTGCAGCGCTATCATCAGGAACGGCGGGAGCGAGGTGCGTTCCTTGCTAGCGCCCCTGCTTCGATGGCCACCCATTCTTGGGCTGCTTGATATCGTGGATGTTGAATTTAGACGCACGCTTTGGCACCGCCTCTACGCCCTCTATTTTTGGGGGACAATGGTCTGATGCTCCGGTCGTCGAAACACCACTTGACATGTCAATGCCCGATACCACGGTCCCCCGCTGGTGGCGCTGGCTACTCATGAGAGAAGCCATCCCCAAAGGCCAATCGGCCCGATACTCCCAGGACGAGCTCTGGTACTACTATGCCAAGGATCGTCGACCCCTGGAGGTCCATCTTAAGACCCAGACTTGACATGTGAACATGAAAATTGTTCGTTTGTAACCGCTGCCTAATTGAACACAACCCGCCGCCGCCGCCTCTCTCTCTCTCTCTCTCTCTCTCTCTCTCTCTCTCTCTCTCTCTCTCTCTCTCTCTCTCTCTCTCTCTCTCTCTCTCTTCCTCGCTTCCACCCTCCTCCCACTTCACCATAACATGCGTTCCGAGCTTCTCTCATCTCTCTCTTTTGCTGTTTCTCTTTCTCTAACCAACCAATCTATGCATTACTGCAACTTTTTTGTCAGAAAATTTACCCGGATGGCGCAACTGCTTTTGACACACACACACACACACACACACACACACACACACTGCTTTCATCAGCTGTCAGGCTCTCTCTCTCTCTCTCTCTCACTCAAGATAGACACGAGGCGGGGGTTGTTGGGGGGGGGGGGGGGTCTGGTTGTACCACGAGCTTGCGTTTGTGGGCGGGCTGAGTGTCATTTTACCGATCTGAATCTGTGCGACGGGTTTGAGGCAGTTTCTTGGGGGTGGAACTTGACGACTCTGAACCAGGCACAATGACGCGAGAGGAAGAGGCTGCCCAGACACTGGACGTGATCATCGTGGGGGCTGGTGTCTCCGGCTTGGCGGCTGGTGCTGCCTGTGCCGCCCAAGGGCTGAGCTACCTTGTATTGGAAGCCAACGAGACTGTTGGTGGCCGAGTGCGCAGTGCCAGCGGTCTGTCTGCGTCCGCCTCGCTGGCCCGAAATAATTCACCAGTTCCAAGATGAGATCATTGTACCCACCCTCATGCGCTTGCCCACCTCCGCAGGCTTTGATGACTCGCATCAATTCGAACTGGGTGCGCAATTTTTACATGGCCGTGATCACGAATTTTATGCCGCTGCACAATCTCAGGTATGCACTTCTGCCCCCCTCCCTGGCCATACCCAACCGCTTCTTTGGTCAATGCTCAGATCGGGTCTCATGGCCCGCATGACACCAAGCAGGATTGTCAACTCAATCCTTTGCACTACCCTGACCGTGTCCTCGTGGGCACCAAGCTCGAAGCCTATCATGATGTCACTGCTGCGCCATGGGCTGAAGCAAAAGATGTTTGTTTTCATGTGCACCCCGCCCTCTTCATCCAGCGACCCAACCTGTGCGACCACCGTGCCTATGCTTTGACACTCGAAAAAAACGCTTGCAGATACTAGACACCATGCTGGAAGACTCGACTCTGCAAGACAAACCAGGTGCTTTCCTATGCCTGGCACAAAGCTGGGTTTTTGTACATGCTCATCGCTCATCCACGAAAAAAAAAAAAACTGTGTGCGCGCAGACATGACTGTGCTCGAGTATCTACAGCGCCAGGGGGCCTCGGAACACGTCCAAGCAGCCCTTGATAGCCTCTTTGCAAATGACCGCTGCTCGCACATCGAGGCCATGGGTCTGCACGAAGCCATTCTCGCGGAACAAGGTCTGTTGTGGCATCGCAATAGTATCGGCTATTCCAGCCTGACCTCATCTTACTGCCCTCGCACGCACCACACGCACCACGCACCCACTGGCTCTCCACACTCATTTGCACTGGTGACCGGGCTTAGAATGGTCTCACGGCGAGGACGAGTACATTCCTGTCCCAGGCCTTTCAGCTGTGATCCAGAACGTGTTTTCGCACGTCTCTGTGCGCACGGGTCCGTTTCGTGTGCATCTCTTGAGCCGGTTCACTGCCCTCCGACACCAGCATCTGCACACAAACAATCCTGAATACCATGATGCTGCTTCCTGTAGGTGCGCCGGTGGCCAGCGTCAAATATGATGCCCTCACGGGCTGCACTCTGGTGCTTGCAAACGGTGCACGTCATGATGAGAACCAGCCTCGCACATATCACGCCCAGCGTGTCATCGTGACCGTCTCTCTCGGCGTTCTTAAAGCGAACCACATTGTGTTTGATCCCCCGTTGCCCGAGCCCAAGCGGGAAGCCATTTGCCGTCTACAAGTATGATTGCGCTCCAATTAGCTGAGTATGCCTAACCCGCCTGACTCGCTCGCCCTCGTCAACCTCACGCCTGCTCGGCGGCGATGGCAGTTCTTACCGGCCAGCAAGATTTTCTTCAAAGTGCCCAGCGAGCTTATCGATACCCACTTTGATACCATTACCTGCGCCGAAGGCTGTCTACCAGAGATATGGCGCCTGCCGGTACGTAAGGCCCCCACCTTGACGGCTCATACACTTTCTTTTCCTTTGAGCTGCACTCAGAGCTACCTCTGGCACCCACCTCCCCGTGCCTCACTTGGCTTTTGTTGGTTTGGTATGTTTCGTTGTTGATATATTTACCACCAGTTCAAGACAGTCGATGGCGCCACCATCATCGTGGGCTTTGTCTGTGCCCGTGACCCGGCGTCGACTGCCCCCGGCTGCGACTGCGCTCCCCAAAGTCCAACCACTTGCGTCGCTTGCCGACCAGCTGACTTTGATGAGGCAGCGTGGTCAGACTTGACGCCAGAGCAGCAGCGCTTGTTCAGGTGTGCGCATGGATGGCGGCGCAGGCGGGCTGCGACCTGCACACCCCGCACACCCCGCACAAGCCTGGAGCAGGCTTCCACACTTCCACACTCATCCACTTGCCGATGTTGATGCTGGTACGCCATGCTTTCGCAGTGCCACTGGTCGCCGACTGGCTGAGATTCTGCAGACCCCGCTTTACGACAGGATTCAAAGCGTGATTGCCTTTGACTGGGGCGCTGATCCTCGCACTTTGGGCGGGTATGTTGGTTGCCGGTCTTGAAGCCGTCTCGCTTCGCATGGCCCGAATCTTGTGTGCGCGCTCATGCAGCCATCCCGCTGCTTCAGCTACTCGTCTCCATCCCTTGATGCCTGTTCGGCTCAGTATCGCAAAGCTCTGGCTGCCCCTGTGGCGGACCGCCTTTTTTGGGCTGGCGAGGCCACTTCGGACATTGTAGACGTCACCATTCAGGTCAGTGATGCCATGTCCCCGTTTGATAATTTTCGCATAATTTTTGCTCTTTTTTCTATAATTATTGGATGATGCTTCGTCATCCAGCTTTTGAAGCGTCGTTCTGGTTTGCTTGAGCCCGAGCGGTGCCATGTGTAATCTCATGTGTGCGCTTTCACTTGTGGGTGACTTGCAGGCTGCCGCACAGTCGGGTCGTCGAGCCGTCAGTGACATTTGCTCGCATCTTGCATCTCTGTAATCGATCACCATTAAAACGACAAACACAATCGGGCACAGTGTCTTTCATTTGTGTAATCATTTTCAGAGTTGTCCTGCCTTGCGGATTTCACACTCGAGAAGCCGAATTCTCGTACTTTCGTTCGCACTGTTGCGTGTTGATCCTCAAGAGGGCCCATCCACGACGACGGGACCACCAACACCATCATTTGTTTTTTTTTTTGGGCTAATATAATTATGCACAACATCCTCTAGATCACTGTGGCCACGTTTCCAAAGCTGATCTGCCGCGCCGGGCTATTGTCGGTAAAAAAAGTCAAAGAGCGCGCAGCGCAAGTCGCGACTCGGCATCTATCATATTCGGCATAGGAGTGACACACACAGGGCACACTGGGACGCAAGAAGAGTATCTCACACGGGAAGAACGGCAGGAGTCGAGAGAAGCACACGGTCCTGTGCAAGTCGGCAACTCGTCACATAGTACCATGTTTTTTTCCTGATGATCCACTCCCTCGGCCTCGCGGAAGGGGGAGCGAGGCAGATGGCACCAGGTCTGCCGAACGGGAGCGGCGCCGCTCGAGGGGGTGCAATAAAGTACCCGGGCGCCCACTCGCCGCTGATGCGGGTCGACGTCCCACTTCTTTCGGCATTGCATGGTGCATGTGATGGTGTGCCGCAGCTTTGAGTAGAATTCGCCTTCGCTCGCTCAGCGAGCGGGATAGGGCGCGTCCAGGGGGTCGCAAGCCGTGTTTATTCACGGTACGCTTGCGTGTGATTCGGCGTGTCAAATGCTCACTTGATCTCTCAAGATCAGATTCAGGCGCTTCGTCCGATGACTCGGTCAACAGCTCCATGTGCAGTGGTGAGCTCATCTGAACGGGAATCCGACGCATCGGGCCCACGTGCTCGTCAATCACGTCGGGCCGCTCCGTTGTCGCCACCTCTACCATGCCACCTCCACCGCCGACGGTCACAATTTCCTCCTGGCACAAATCAGGACCGAGCAAGCAATGCGGCGTCAGCATGCCCGCGCACATGTGTACGTCAAGCTATCTGCTTTGGCAAAGCCCAAGCATCAAACATAACAGAAAAGTGACTGAGCAGTGCCACGGCGAGAGGTCTTACCGCATGCTCGGGGCCGCGTACTCGCACATTCTCTCGCATCATGTGCAGCGTCATGGTTGAAGTGTTGTCTCTGTGAACGTGCAAGGGGTTGGATGAGCGTAGGCACTTTTTGCAACCACTGATTGAGCAAGATAAGATAAGAATGAGAAAAACAGACCGCAGACGTGGGCGATTGGAATTGCTGTGAAGGGAGCTCGGTTGACTATCTCGCGCAACCTCGTCCAAATCGGTCTCTTGTGTTGGGCTCTTGGCCGTGCTTCGGTTCAGGGTCGATGTGCCGTCTCCCTCATCTGCTGCCTCATGCTCGCGTATAAGCTGCGAAATCATCCACCAGTTCAGGATGGGAGAGATCTTGCTCAGCGCGCGTGCAGACTCTTGCTCCTGCCGACTTGGCTGGAAGAGGCGTTGAAGGGCATGTTCGCGATTGTAATCATGACGTAGCTATGGGAGACAGCGCGTGCCAACGGTTTATGGGTGGCAAAAAGGTGAAAACGCAGTGCGGCAACACAAAGTGCCCCATAGTGGGAGTCAAGCTTTGGTATGGGAGGCACAAAAGAACGCCGGCCACATGTCGATAGCCTATCACGGCTACTTGGCTTTGTCTGATGCAGCAAGCAAACCTACCGTAGCTTTCAGCTTGTGCATTCCAACGAGATCAAAGTGGGCCAGCTTCTGCAGCTTGGCCACATCGTTAGTGTCCATGACCGTCAAGGCTGCGTTAAAAAGACAAGTGCGCAGAGAGAGAGAGAGAGAGAGAGAGAGAGAGAGAGAGAGAGAGAGAGAGATGGAGAGAGAGGGAAGAAGCGAGCATGAGTTGATGACGCTCAGTTTCATCCAAACCAATTTGGCGCGCAACACGGCCAGAAAACGGAAGACGAACCATCTTCGTGCCCGCCAAGCTCTCGCCGCCACGGACCACGACGACGATGAATGCGATACACCACCACGTCATTGTCATCTTCGTCAACATCAGCGTCTGACTCTTCGTAAATCTCAATGTCTGAATGGTCAAAGTGCACAGTGGCCTGTCGGGTAACTTCGGCAAGGTCACGCCCCAACAGCCCTGAGCGATGCAAAAGTCCATCAGAACCGCGTTGGGCCAGCTCTCGTCGAATAATGCCCGTGTCCTTGCATGCCATAATCTCGATTTGGCCACTGCAGGTGTCAAGTCGTGCAGTGAGAGTGATGCAGGCATGCGCTGGGCACGTGCGTCGACATAGGCTTACCCATCGGGAGTGCGACGTGTTTCTCGCTTCGACAGAGTGGATGCAGTGGAGGCGGGTATGTGCTCCAACTCTGCCTGAGCTGAGTGCCGTGCGCGGCGCAAAGTCTCCGCCAGTTGTCCCGTGCCGGAAAAACTACTCCGGCGCCGATCCTGCTGCAAAACAAGAGAAAAGGAGGTCGAACGCTGGGGGCGCCGTGTGGTTGGGTGACCTGGAACCGGGCTGTTGTTGACAATGGGCTCCCTCAAATTAGGGCTGTCGTTGCGCGCGGGCAGCACGTCGTTCTCACTAGGCTTGCGATTACGGCGCACTGCTGAGCCAGATGGGACTGGCAGGGCTCGTGGGGTCAGGGGTGAGGGCCCTGGTTCTGACGTGCTGGGCATAGTTTCCTCCACCTCACCGACTTGTGCCCCTCTTGTTGTCGAAGGGTCGGCATCGGTTCTCCATGCAATGGAAGGTTCATCAGGCAGCTCTTCACTTGTTATGTTGCTGCCGTTGCTGCGGCTCTGAATGCTCACGCGGCTTTTGGTTGAGAAACGGCGCGACCCGCGCGAAACATGCGATAGGCGGCGGTGGCTTTCCGCGTAATGTGCCTCCACCTGCTTGCTGGCACGCTGAATCAGCTCCTGCGCCTCTTTGGAAAGATTCCCCATGGTTTCTGGCGTGTCAGCCTGTGGCACACAGGTAAAGCGGCGCAAAAGTTAGGGGCTTGTTGGCAACAAAGGCGGGTAGCCCGTCGCACAGTCTTGGCGGGTCTGAGGAAACGTACAGCGCTAGAGACGGCGCGCGAAAGCATGTCACCATTCATGCCCGGTTCGTCAACTGGCGGTGGTGGCGGGGCATCAGGAATGACCACAAACGCCTTGTGCAGATCATCCACAGTCAGCCCCTGATAGCGGCTGCGGAAGCCAATGAACATTTCAATCGTGACGGCCTACAGGGAGAAATGCAGATGCCCCAAAGAGCCAACCCAGGAATTGGCAAGCAACACGTAAGAAGCGGTTCCCGCGACACAAAAACACAAGAACAAAAACAAAACAAAAACAGCAATGAGACGCCGATGCAGGCCAAGTAGCATACCACAAGCAAATCCATCAGAATCATGTTGACAAAGACATAAAAGACCACGAAGAAGACTGCGGCCCGCCAGCCCACGAGCTCAATGACCGAGTTCATGGCATCGTGCCAGTTACTGAAGAGAGAAGCAAGCACAGAAGCATGGATAGGATGAGCGCGTCAAGTTGCCGCAACGGCTTGGCCTGGGAGAAAGGCAGCGGCCTAGACTGTCGAACCTGCCCGTTAGGGTTTGGAAAAGCGCAAACAGTGCGCAGCCCAGCGTTTTGAAGCCCGTTTCACATCCAAAGACGTCATAGTACATGTCATCCTGGTCAGCTGGAGGAGTTGGTGGAATGAGGGATCCTCGTATTCAAGCGTTGAAAAGAAGGCAGGCGCAACGATGGCGTTGACTTTGTCACAAGTGTACCAAGCGCAGGCTGACAACGGACCTGTATTGGCGTAATCGTGAAAGATTTCCACACCGATCACGCCAAAGAAGTACATGACAACCATCATCAACAAGCTCTGCTCGTGGGGCAAGCGCACAAGTTGTGCACAAGCGGCATGCAGGCCCTCATGAGCCATGGAAAACATTTCAATGCTATGAAAACGGACCACACAGCCTTGCACTCACCAAGTGAAAGATCACACCGGAGACCCAGTAGAGTAGCAAGAGACCAAAGCGAGCGTCAGAGGAGAGCCAGGTAAGGCGAAGAAACAGCAAAACGTTTGCCACAACGGCCAGGAGATTGGCTTCATGGACCCGCAGGTTGGCCGCTAACAAGAGGACCCAAGCTGCAATGCAACAACTCAAATCCATGGCCTTGTAGAAGCGACGCGTAAAGTCTTTCCATCCTTCAGACACAATCTGTGGCCAGAGCGAAATGGATGCTCAGTTATGTAAAAAAAAAAGCCAAAAAAAAAATAAAATAAAAAAGCCTACAACTAATAATAACAAGCACACCATCGTTATAGCAACGGAACGGGCGGCTTCTGTACCTCGAACAGCACGTCAGCGAAAAGGATGGAGGCCAGACCCAAGTGGACGGCGTGGAGGACGCTTACAAGGTGTGGTGACATGCCACGCCAAAGGATGCAGGTCAGCAGTGAATTGCTCAGCGTGAGGGTCATTTGCCCAAAATGGCGCCATTCATGGTTGACTAGCCTGAGCAGCAATGCAACAGTTGGCACGGAGCAAATACAAAGCATGCATAAGCGACTTGAAATGACAAGCAACCAGGCTTGCGCGACGTCAGTCGCACCAGTCAGCAGCGGGCCGTAGCCAGCGAAGGTGGTGGTCAAACCAGTCGGTTTGATGCTCGTTGTCTTCCAGCTTCGTGACGGTGAGTTGTAAAATCTCTCGCAAATCCATAAAGTCAAAGGGGTCAATCTGGTGATGATCAGCGGCGAAGGGCAGGTGTGCGTGAGGTGCGAGGTGCGGAGCGCAGTTTTGCATGCCCGGCGGCGACAGTCGTTCACAAGCTCGGGCAGAGTCGGACCTTTCGATTTCCATCACGATCAAGTAGCTCAAAGTAGAAGCGCATTTCTGGGCGTTCCGCTTTGGGTCGAAGGACCTTCATAAAGGTGGAGAACTGAGCAAAGGACAACCAACCACGGCCATGGGTGTCAAGCAGCTGAAAAGCTTTCATGAGACCTGTCAAATCGCCCAAAGGAAGTATGGTTGGTAGCGTTTGTTAGCACGCGTTAAAAGGCTTGCGCTGCGTCTTGGCCAGTTTGCGACATTCTGGGAACGGTTGGAGGGCGGCGCACGCACCCTTCCATTCTTTCTTGCGCTCTTGGCGTACTTGTTCTTCGGCATACTCGAGGTAAAAGCTGACAATCTATGGCGACACAACGCACATTACACACCGCAGGCCTCGGCGTCAGCCACCCGCGGGTGTTGCTTCATGCTGGCAGCACGGCGCAGGTGGTGTGTACATTGAGGTCGTACCAGGGCTAAGATGATGGAAGTCAAAAAGACGACTCCGGCATAGACAAAGATAAAAAAGTAGACGAAGCTGGCTTTTGAGTCTTTCCAGGCGGGCAGCGTAATCATGGGAAAGTTCTCGGTGGTGAACAGGACGAACATGCGAAGGCTCGCCACGAGCACGTTGTCAAAAGCGCCTTCAAGCACATCCTCCTCGGGATTGTCTTCGTCGAGGTCTTGGTAGTCAGCCGCAAAGAGAGTCACGCCCAGGACGGCAAAGACGAGGATGAACCCAAGAAGCAGAAGAAAGAGTCGCCCCAAGCGCGGAAGCATGGCCGTGACGATGGAAAAGATACGTCGAATGTCTCGATGACGACAAATTAAAATGGCTGGCCGTAAGCATCGAGACCATCGTGGAAAGCCAGCGCCGGCCACGGCTATGAGCCAGTCGAGTATGAACAGGGTGACCAGTGTAATTTGAACACTATGGAAGTGAGGCATCGGGTCATGCGGGTGCAGCAACGGGTTACATGGGGCAGGCAATTAACCAGTAGGATAGAGAGAGGGGTGCCGTAGAGGGAGGAGAGGTGTAAACGCTTTCATAAAAGCATGTCACTGTGCCGTTTTCGACAGTGGTTTGAGGGGGAGGGTAGCAAACAGACCGATGCCATTTTTTGGAGACGTAGACGCGCGCTCCCATATACACCATCTTGAGATAAATATCGATACTGTAAACCTGCAGAGCAAGAGGATGTTTTGTACAATGGCATGAGAGTGTTTGTCAAGCATGGGCCCATTTGCATGTGGGGAATGGTAGGCTGGAGCGGCTGGCAAGTACGGATGTGGTCAAGTTGGACAGGAGAGGCAAAGGGGCAACAAACAGGTGCTGAGAGAGCATCACAGCGAAAGTTGACCACCTACCGCCAGACAGAGAAACTCGAGCGCATAGCAGACGGCAGATGCATGACCCCAGGTGGGGGGTTCCCAGAACGCGAGGAAAGCATGGACAAAAGCCACCAAATAAATCATGTGCGTCCACATCTCATGGCTGTGTAGCAAAAAGCACAGCTGCTTGGCTTGGTTCGCAAAGTAGAGGTTGCCGCGCCCGTTGGCCAACCTGAGGAAAAGGCGCGAGCACCATCCAAGCATGGCAAACCGGCATCATGATTGCTTTAAGCGTCGGGGCATCAGGGAAGAGGTGCTGCGAAACAACAGCTGCCGCATAGCGGCTGCAGCCATTGTACCACGTCGTGGTTGCCGAACGCACGTACCGCCCATCCATGGCATCGAGAACGTAGTTGTAGGCGAGCGCAATGTGCACAGGGGTCTGGGAGACGTGCAGTTTGTTGAGAGGGTCATCCACAAGATCCTCGAGCGGCCGTTGCAGGGTGCGCTGGGGCACCTGCCCTGACGTGGCTTCGCCTTGCACCACATCGCTGGTGGCCCCGCCATTGGGTGCCACCCGGGTCCGGTTGTCCCACAGCCGCATGTTGCCCAATGGCCAAGGCGGTCCGGGAAAAGAGCTTCTCCTCTAGACACACGCGAGGGCAAACGGCACGATTGCAGCAGCGGTGTCGAAGACCATCGCCATTGCGCCCGAGCCAGCCTCTGCCACCTGATATAATATCTCGGCCATGGGCCGGCCACGCGTCGCCGTCTGCACGCTGTCGACACCAATCGCTCCCGCCCACAGCAGCAGTACCACAACAACCTCCAAATTAGCTGCAACAAGTTGATGGAAGCAAAGGCAGTGATTGTTATATAAAATGTCAGAGTTCTACAATAACTTTAAAGATCGCGTTGATCCTCCTTAAATCAGCAAAAAACATCCGAAAAATACGCGGAAACTCAGAGTAGCCAAGCAAACACCTCTTCACAACAGCAAAACCGAACAGCTTGACCTGACCAAGTCAGCTTGCTTGCATGCAAATTAGAGAGTGTCCGCCGAGAATTGGTCGTCCGGTTGGCACGATGAACTGCGGATGTAGGGGGAATTCAGCACGAGCTACAAACAGGAACTGCCCTTGCTCTTGTGGTGATGCGCTTCTGCATTGGCCCTTTTCATGCGCCCCTACAACACCCGACTCTCGACCATCATCTCGATCTCTTTCCCTGAGGGTCCTGGCAACTTTTGTGCGTCAGCTTACGCATCTGGCCGGGCGTGAGCCACACGTCCCACCCATTCGCCGCGTCTGGGCCCCTGCCACTTCTCTCGGGTCTGCATCTCCAACTGGGCTTTCATCCTGCCTCCCCACTCGTTTTGCTTGCCCTAGTCCAACTCCACTCGCTCGTCTGCTTTGCAGGCGACGGCGCGCCCAAGCCGAACTGTTTCAGAAAAGCATGGGCCGTAAGGAAAAGCGAGCCGCGGCTGCGGCCGCTGGCTCCACCTCCAGCGGGCCCACCATCTCCTCCTCGTATGTGTTTGTTCCTTCGTTCAAATGGCAGATGTCTTGCTTTCTTGTTTGTCCCCGCTCAACACCACCCGTGCTGTATCTGCTAATGCGCAGGCAGCCACACAAGCGCCGTGGCTTGTTTACCCTGCGTCGCGCACCGCGCATGGCTGGCACCTCCCGCGAGCAACAACAACACCAGCATCAAGTGCAGCACCACGAGCAGCCATCACAGCTGCCGCCCCAGGTGCGGCAGCTAAGCAAGGCCACCCGCAAAGGTACTTCCAATAAAGGCTCGTCCCGCCACATCCATTTCGCCGATGATGTGGATATTCAGGACCAAGCCATGGCCGATGGCTTCTTGCCGTCGCTCTCCAACAACTCGGATGACCTGGGCCTGGGGGACTGGGCAGCTGCGGCCTTTGAGTGGGATACAACCGATGTTACCCTCTCCACCAGTCGCGGGCTTCACTGGCTCCAAAAACTGGGCGTGGTCTCGCGGCACTTTCGTCCAGAAGACCTTGATTCAACGCAGCGCCGTGTCATTGACGACATCATGTCCAAATTGCACCAGGTGCGACCATGTGGCTGGGTGTCTTTCCTGCGAGCTGTCAATGTGTTCTGCTCAGTTGCTCACGCTGGGTCGCCAAACTTGACCCTTCTCACTTGCGCTTCAGAACAACATTGACGAAAGTGACATTGAGCGGCACGGTGAGGAGGTATGTGGCCTGTGACACTCGCCCTCGCCAGCGGCTTGAACCACACGCTCCCCTGCAGACGCAAACTCACGGCCCACTCGTGTGTGTGTGTGTGTGTGTTCCGTGGCACTGCAGGTGCAACAGCTGTTGGAGCAAGACATCGAGACCTTGCTTATGGTTCTTCCCGCCTCGGTAGGCTACTTGCTTCAGGCCCACCCACGCCATCATGTTGTCTCAGCCCTCACGCGCACCACCCGGTCGTTGCGCAGCGTCGGCCGTCTGGACGGTTGGACATGGCGGCGGCAGCGGCGGTGGCTGCTTCCTCACCCGTGCATACAACTTCCCCGCTACGCGTGGGGACAAGCATGAGCGGTTTACCTTCTAGCCAGACAGGCAGTTTTCGCGCGGCCACGCTTAGCACTTTCCAGATCGAGAAGCAGGCCTACGAGGACACGATTCCCATCACTGAAGGACGGGCACGAACTCGCATCGAGCCGAGTCAGGTGGCAGCAGTCACCCACCGCCTGGCCCGGGCCTGGGCAGTGGGTGCCACTCCGCTCCAGGTGCGTCCACGCGCGTCTTTGCCTTGTCGTTCGTTGGTCTCTTTTCTGCGCGTCCATGGTCTTCTTGCCCACGTTAGCCAGCCCTTCCAACGAATGCTTTGCTCACTTTGAATTCTTGATGGGACGATTCATTTTTCAACCACCTTTCCTGGCTAGATCAATGAGCTGCTTGATCGTGAAATTCAGCAGCTGCTGCTCATGTCGCGTGCACGGTTGCAGGCAGAGATTGTATCTTTGCGTCACGAAAATCGTAGCATGCGCCACGCGCGCACTGGGCAGACCGAGCTGGGGCGTGCATTGGCCGCTGAAAAGTCCCTGACGGCCAAGCTGCAAAGTATTTGTGATGAGCGCGACCAACAGGTGGAGGCTCTGACGCGCGAGCTGCGTCGTGCCAACGACGAGCTTTCCGTGCTACGAGCCGCAGCGCCTGCTCGCCAGTCCACAAAGGCCCAGGAGAAAACAAGCGAGCCGGAAGGTGCCAAGGAGGCACTCGGCGAGGGGCAGTCTGCAAGCGAGGCAGAGCAAAACCAGCGCGTGCTTGAATCTAGCTTGGAGGATGACCTTGTTTCACCAACATCTCCCACATCTGGACCACGCTTCTCTTTTTCAGCGCATGGATCGGACGCGGCCAAGGCAGCCCTATTGACCACGGAGCCCTTTGGCCTTCGTCGTGCGTCAGTGCGCTCGGCTTTTTCCGAGCAGATGTTCTCCATGGGGTCGCAGACCTCGCTTCTGCAACAAAAACAGTCGATGCTTTTGAGTGACCGAACACCCGACCGCGTCTCGGCCACGTCATCTTTTCGCGTACGTTAGCCTTTTTTTTTTTTTAGTTTGGAAGGTCAATCAGGGCGCGTTTCAGTGCAAAGCACCGGGAGAGTCCGCAGTCGTTCCCTGCTTCACGCAAATTCACTTGCACTTGTTGCTTACCACAGAGCTCGCACGCCGCCATGAATGATTCGTCGCGCCTGGACGAGGTCCTACATGAGCATGGTGTGCCCAAGAGCTACCGTGGCAACATTCTTTCCCACGTGCGTCGGAGCGGGCGTCGCAAGTCCCCCTTGACCACGCCGAGCAGCCTGGCTACCGATGGTGTCTTGGTTTAGAAGCAACCGCCGCATCTTGGCGTGATTTCTCATTCCCGGCCCTTCTCACTTCGAGCGGGCTAGATTGGGTAGTCAACAGGCGATTAATTTCTGTTCATGTCTACTGGTCTGCTCCGATACGGCCGTCATCCTCGTGTCCGACTGGATTTCCCTGGATTGTGTTTGATCTGCATGGTTGTCCGCCCGTTGGAGCTAGAGGGAAAGCTTTGGCAGCACATAGCCAGCATGTAAGCCGCCTGTGTCATACGTGGGTTGGCTGTCTGTCGGGTTCATGTTACATGTACACTAAAAGTCAATCTAGGGTCTTGAGTTGACGTGACATGGTGCATGATAAGAGTCGGGATGATGCTCTGAAAAAAAGACACACTACGTCAATTGGTGCTAGTGGCGAGTCAGTGTGGCCAAAAGGCAGACTTTTGTGCCGCAGTGCAGCCCTGGACGGCAGGTACCGAGGCGCAATTCACTGTCTATTTGCGGGCCGCAGGCCCTTGCTCCAACATTGTTTTACATCACCATTCCCTCAAAAAGCACCTGTGGTGCCGCTGGTGATGACAACCACGCAAGACATCGGTACTTCGGCTCTTATCTGTGGCGGTGGTGACGATCGTCGTCGTCCTCCTCGTCGTCGTCCAAATCGTCATGGGGCAACTGCTGAGAGCGCAGGAACGAGGCCATGATGCGGCCCGATTCCTCCTCTATACAAAGGCCCACAGCCAGGCACGAAGAAAAGCGGGGCCAAATGAGGCGAAGCGGGGGCGGCAAGAGATACAACGGGTGTTGGATGAACATCCCGACACGGAGCGCGTATCTAAACCTCGATACAAACCGAGGCGGGAATCTTCAGAGGGATCCAACGGAGGCCGGGCGTTGAGGATGGTGTGGCCACCAGATTGCATGTCCTCGGCGAGGCGGCGCAGCTGAGCTTGACGCTCACTTGTTTCAGCTTCAACCTGTTGCAAGAAAAGGAAGGGGGGGGGGGGCGTAATGGTGGTGAGATGATGCTGGGGTGTCAATGACGGGAGAGGTGGTCCGCCAGGCCAGGGCCCGGCGAGCAGGGGCCGATGAAGGTCGCACCCGCTTTTGACGCAGTGTTTGCAGCATGGTCTTGTATTCCTCATTGTACTCGACCACAGCGGCATCAACGGCTTCAAAAAAGTCGTCCATGCCAGCCCCAGTAAAGGCGGACACAGCGACGGCGCGGAGTTGGGTGTAAAACTCTTCGAGGACAAGACCCATGGAGCGAGCCAGGGTGGCAATGTATGTGGTTTCTGAGGCGATGGCTTCGTTGAAAGACTCGTAGTCCTTGAGCCAGTCCAAGGCAAATTGGGCGTCGACGAGATCACTCTTGTTGAACACCAGGACAAAGGGAAGGCGGGTCTTGTAGCAGATGCTGCAGGCGTAGAGCATGTTGGACATGAACGTGACGGGGCTGACGCATCGTGCTGTATCCACGACGTAGGCGACAACGGTGGGAAAGGTTGAGGCCAAGGTCTCGGTGATGATTTGGCCCGAGGCAGACCAGGTGAAGACCTCAATTTGGCCTGGCGTGTCCATAATCATGTAGTCGTGTGTTTGAGAGCGTTGCTCCAACAACGCCATCACCTTTTGTTGGTCCGCCGCGCGACACATGAGACAGTGAGCAGCAGTCAGGTCAGCAAGGGCCTAGCAGAGCTTCGGAGTAGTACACCCAGGGCTAGCTAGGCAGAGCCTCGAGGCAGGGCGGTAGCTGGCTCACCTGATCAAACTTTGTGGCAAACAGGTTGAGGCTGGTCACAATGCCGCCGTTGGGCCCAAGACCATACTGCTTCATCACCTCTTTGTAGTTGACAGTGTCACGGATATCAATGTTGGGATCGAAAGGAACCTGGTAGACGGCTGGGTCGAGGTTGACGAGGTACGTGGGTCGCTCCTTCTGGTGCAGGTGCGCATGAATGCGTTGCACAAAGGACGTCTTGCCAGAGCCAGCCATGCCTAGGCACCATGCAACCCAGCGCTGATGGTCAGCCTGCACGCACACGCCCAGCTGGTTTCAATTCTAGTTGCAGAGTGAGGCAAAGCAGTGTCAAGGTGGCAGACCCTACCAATGCAAATGATGCAGGGGGCCTGGTGCGGGGTTGCCGAGGCACTTGGCGCTTCGGGCGCTGCTGCTGCCGTCGGCGGGACGGCTGCGCTGCTCTCAGCCGTGGTCGGCGTGGCGGTGGTCTGGGCCTCTGCCATCTTG